ACAGTGCCTAGAATATAAAAGGTACTTAGCTGGGTGTGGTGGGGAGTACCTGATTCTCAGGAGGCTGAGACAAGAGGATAGCTTAAACCCAGGGGTCAGAGGCAAGCCTGGAAACATAGTGAGACCCCAATTTTTAAAAAAAGAAAGAGGGCACTCAAATAGTACTTGACTGATATGCAAAACGACACAATCAAGGATGCACAAGAAACAAGTAGAAACAATTGATGCATTAGGGTAGTAGATATTTTTTTTACAAATATCAACAGGTAAAAAATTAGCATTTAGTGCCAGGTATGCTGGTGCACACCTGTAATCCCAGCTGCTCAGGAGGTTGAGACAGGAGAATCACCAGTTCAAAGCCAGCCTCAGCAATGGCGAGGCACTAAGCAACGCAGTAAGACCCTGTCTCTAAATAAAATACAAAAATAGGGCTGGGGACGTGGCTCAGTGGCCGAGTACCCCTGAGTTCAATCCCTAGTACAAAAAAAAAAAAAAAGCATTTGAAACAATTGTTTGCATTGCTTTAAAGTGCTCAGTATAGTATTTAAAATCTATTAGTTCAGCCAGGTATGGTGGCTTATATCTATAATACAACTCTGTAATCCTAGCAACTTGGGAGGCTGAGGCAGGAGGATTGCAAATTCAAGGCCAGCCTCAGTAATTTAGAGAGACCTTGTCTCAAAAAGAAAAAAAATCTATTAGTTAAGAGTTAATTTTCTATAAAACCTCTGATTTAGATGTCCACCTCATGTACTCTTGAAGTTACCTCAATAAAAGTAGGAAAAAAACCCTCTAACATAAGTATTCAACAGTCACCTTTCCTGGGTTAAGCAGGCTCACAGTTGTTATAAATTAAGCTAATTTGTTTCATGAGCACATTATCAATCTACAATCATAAAAAAACTATGTTACATTTTTATAGACCTGAACTGTCCAACATGATAACTACTGGCTACACATAGTTACTGCAGTTAATTAAATAAGATATAAGTCCATTTGTCAGTTGTTCTAACCACATTTCAAATGCTTAGGGCCATGAGTAGCTAGAAGTTTGTTAGAGTCTGTAAACAAGTCAGGATGGCACCTGGCATTTTGCCAGAGAAATGTTAGGGTCTGTAAACAAGTCAAGATGGCGCCTGGCAAAATGCCAGAGGGAGTGGTTTCTGAAGTAACGCCAGGAGCCATTAAGTGTGGAGATTTCTTATTGGTTGACTGCTGTATCTAGTTTATGCTAATTAAGATAAGCTGCGTGGAATGTATAAATATCCCTCTGTTGTCCTACAATAAACGGCTCCCACTCCTGCTGTATCCATCTACACAAGTTATTCGTCACCCCCCCCCCCCCCCCCCCCTTATTCTGCTGCAGCGGGACTACGGCAGAGGTTACCATCCTGGACCTCATAAATACAGAACACCACAGAGAATTCTATAGGGTAGAGCTGTTATAAAATTTTTCTAAAACTTCACTTTAATGCATAAAACTGATTTAGCTGAGATATTGGCAGAACACAACCTTGTAATTTCCAGTTCTATAGTCTGTATCTATGGTTCTCAAAACACGATCCCAGTACCAACCCCACTTAGGAATTTTTTAGAAATATCAACTCTCAAGCCCTAGCAATCTATTTTACCAAGCTCTACAGGTGATCCTGGAGAATTCTAAATCATGTTCAAGTTTTAGAGTCATTGTTCTAACAGAAAATAAGCCATTGGATGACAAGAAATCTACTACTATAGACTATAAATGATCGATCAACTATGAAATCATATACAATCATATCCCTATGAGGTCTTCTTTTTGGGGGGAGGAGTGCCAGAGACTGAATTCAGGGGCACTAGACCATTGAGCCACATCCCCAGCCCTATTTTGCATTTTAATTAGAGTCAGGGTCTCACTGAGTTGCTTAGTGCTTGCTTTTGCTAAGACTGGCTTTGCATTAGCGATCCTCCTGCCTCAGCCTTTGGAGTTGCTGGGGTTACAGGCATGCACCACTGCACCCAGCTATTATGATGTCTTCTAATACAAAAACAAACAAACAAACAAAAAAAACTCAGTATACACTTCAATAAGTTATAATATTACATTTGAATAAATTGTGAACTTGATATCTTTAAAAAAAATTAAAACTTTAAACCACGGCATAATCACATTTCCATCTTTTCCTAAGGTTACAATTAAATGCTTTTAATTTAGAGAATGAGAGCCTAGCTCAGTGACAGAACACTTGCCTAACATGCACAAGGCCCCAACTTCAATCCTCTGCATGGAAGGGGAAAAAAAACACTTTAATTTAGGAAAAATACACATAGGGGAAACATGAAGAAGGAAATATTTTCAAATTGTGCCCTAACTATAATTTTCACATGGGCAAATATTACTTTTGTAATAAACTAATAAATAAAAATCGATTAACAAGAATTACCTCAGCAAGAAGTTAAAACTAGGGGCTGGGGATAAAGCTCAGTTGGTAGAATGCTTGCCTAGCATGCACAGGCCCTGGGTCCAATCCCTGGCACCACCAAAAACAAACAAACAAAAAAGAAGTTAAAACTAAAGTTGCATAATTGTTACAAAAGAAACTAAACAATTTGAATACTCCTAATTTCCTCTTACCAGTCATAGATTTAGCAGAAAACTATTATTTGCAATATCGACATCCAAGTATGTTAAATATTCCTTATTCAATTTTCTGACAGAAAAACATCCTTAGAAGTTTCAGCTAAGAACAGTATGTAATACATTAAAATAAAATCACTGGGAAAAGATCTCATCTTGGTTTACCACAAATTTGTCTCAAAAAGGAGAGACTTTAAGTGCCTAGTAGATGACAAATTTCTGCTACAGCCAAGTGTTTACTTTGATACCGTAGTGGTGGAAAACTACTTAGTCATGTACAGAATTTTGTGTAGTTTAAAAGCAACAGAAATGTTTATAACATTGAAAATATTTACAACATATTGAACTTAAGTGTAATCCATCAGAAGTTAAATCATACTTCATACTATTGCCTGGGTACATAAACATCAACTTCCAAACATCCTTCCATAAAGTGAATGGTGTCAATGGTTAACAAAAATTTGACATCTATTTAAAAAACGTTTGTGGTACTGGGAATCAAACTCAGGGGAGCTCTACTACAGCCAGTCCTTTAAAATATAAACATAAATATATATATATATATATATATATATATATATATACACACACACACACACACACACACACACATATATATATATTTTTTTAATTTTGAAATAGTATCTTGCTAAGTTGCTGAGGCTGTAGTGATCACTGCCTAAATCTCCCCAGTCCCTGGGATTACAGGTGAGTGCTACTGCACCCATCTAAATTTTGACATCTAAACACTCTTTATTACTCTAATACTAAGGACACAATTTCAACATTCTAAGTATTGTTTTTTAAAAGTCAAATAATTAATATATTAAGTACCAACCAGTCTTATTTCTGTCATTCACTTCTGCATGCCTAGTATAGATTGAGGCTTACAGCGACACTTGGGATTGGGGTGGGGAGGAATGAATACTTTCTTTGCAGATACAATTTTTTTCCCCTAATGATTTCAGCCCTCAAGGGGATTACAAATGGAATTGAGAGACAAGACAAACTCTTGAAAAGATGAAAAACAGGACAATTAAAACTGTCACCTGGCAAGATATGTTTATTTGCAAAGTTAGTGGCAGAGAGAGCTGTAAATTCTGACCATAATGAGATTAGTATGGACTGCAGTCCTTCCGGTCACCCTTCCAGAATATGAAAGTGAGCTGGGCGCTGCGGAGGCTGCACGCCTGTAATCCTAGAGACCAGGAAGGCTGAGGCAGGAGGAACTCCAGTGCAAAGCCAGTCTCAGCAACTTAGAGGAGGACCCGGTCTTAAAATAAAAAATAAAAAAGGACTGGGGATGTGGCTCAGTGATGAACCGTCCCGGATTCAATTCCTAGTGTAAAAAAAAAAAAAAAAAAAAAAAAAAAAAAAAAACAACTATAGAGTATCCGGGTGCAATGGCCCCTGCCCCACCACCAGCCGGCCCCTGCTTGGTCTCTCCAGTGACTTGAGAGACTGCAGCAGGAGAATCGCGAGTTCCAGGCTAGCCTCTGAAACTTATTAAGGCCCTAAACTACTTAGTGAGATGGAGAAAAAAATTAAAAATAAAGAATGTGACACAGCACTCACCCCGCCCTAAAATTATCATCAGGTAAATAATGAAAGACAGAAGGAAACTTTCATACAAGGTTTTTTAAACCTATGGTAGAAAAAAAAAAAAAAACACACCATATTCCACAGGCACAACCGTTTCCTGGATTCAGGACTTATAAAGGTGCCAGAAATAAAAGTCTCTTAGGAACAGTGTCCCCTCATCCTCTCTTCTTTCGCCCCTCACGGAGCTTTCCAGTGGACAGCCGCCCGAGAAATTTCTCCGAGTATCCGCAATGGCAATACTCTCATCTTCCTCTCCCTCCCCTCGCCGGTATCAGACAGTGGCATCTCCCTCCAAAGGAAAAAGCCGAGGGCGGGGGAGTCAGAATAAGAGAGAAAGCTTGCAGTGAGGGCGATCAAGGAGGAGGAAGGTGAGAAAAAGCGGGGGGCGAGGGTGCAGAATCCTCGGTCCCAGCCCAGCCCAGCCCCTAGGAACGCAGGCCCACACCTCCCCACCCCCAAGTCACGCCCCTCGCCTACCAGACAGCCGGCTATCACAGGACAGCTGCGCCGCACCCTGGCCCCGCTGGGAGACGACTGCCCCTGCCCCACCACCAGCCAGCCCCTGTTTGATCTCTCCCCTTCCCGTCCACGTCGCCGACGAGTGACAGGTCCCGGGGGAGGCGATCGCAAGCGCACGCCGTTCCGGAATACCGGTGCAACCAAGCACCGAAGCCCTCCAACAGGCGCGGGGGTGAAGACAGAACGTTCCGGACGGCTCGGGGGACCCAGTCCAGGCCCAGGCTGCCCAAGCTGGCCCACACCGGGCGGGGGTGGCACTTACTGCGGAGATTGTGGATAAGCTCCGAGTGGCTGGCGCCGCCGGATTTCCAGGCCATCGCTAAGCACACCCGGAGCAGGTACAGAACCACCTTCAGCGCGGCGACGGTGCCCAGCAGCTTTCCCAAGAGTGAGACCACCTCCCACACGGTCACCGCCCCGCTCCCGTCCCCGGTATTGCCGCCGATATTACTGCCGTCGCCGTCGCTGCCGCCACTGCGCGCTCCCGGCATCCCCCGCGGCACGCATGCGCTCTGTGACGCCGCGCGCCCTCGGGTGCGGCCGGGTGGGGCCGGAGGCGGGGGAGGCCCGTTGCCCTGCGGCGGTTGCGGGTGGCTGCTGCGGCTGCTGGGGGACCCTGGGGAGGTTGTGCTGAGTCAGCACCACCACCGCCGCCGCGTGCCCTTGCTGACTTCGCCCTGTGGCCGGGCCGATGGTCCCCAGAGCTGTGGGTCGCGTTCCTGCCTGTGGCTCCTGTCACCTTGTGCGGCGGCGGGCTAGCAGGGCCGATCTGTACCGCGACTGCAGGTGGCTCCGCCGTCGCCGCCGGGTCAGCTGTTGCAAGCGGCCAGTCTGCTCCTATAGCTGTCCAGATTGTTAGACGGTGGGCTTCCTCCGTCCTGTCTCACCCAACCTTGTTGACTCATATTTAGGTCGGTTGGAGTCAAGGCTCCCAAGGATGGAGCCGAAAAAATAATCTTAATGGAGCCCAAGGGCAAAGCCCCTCTCATCGAGTACACCAGCCTCTAGCTTAGTGACAAGCACGTCACGTTTGGTTAAACAGAGACTTTAGGACCCTGATTTGTTCTTCACTCTAAAGCGCAAATACAGAGTGTAAGAATGCCATCACATGGGGGGAGAGTGGGGGAGAATGCGCCTTTAGAACAAAACAAACGTGAAGAGATATAATTGGTTAAAAAAAAAATACCTCGGTATCCTGTGGTGAATGTGTTGTTCTCCCAATGCAAGTGTGACTTTTCAGCTAATTAAGCCTCACAAATTCCACTCTTAGATTGGGCACCAACTTTTACTGCTATCAGTTCTGCAGGACCATGAGTGAGAGGCTGACAGGGAACATTGCCTGTCGCATCCATATTGCTGAGTCCTAATTATCACTGATACTGACAGAATCCAGCCATCCATTATTCCAGTACACTTTTAAGAAAGAAATGGCTAAGTCAAGACATCTATACTACCATGCGGACAGCAACTTCCCAATTCTCTTTTGTATCAGATTTTGTCACATGTGACACTCAACTTGTTCCCAATTAAAAATATATATTATTATTTTATAGAATTCTGTGATCATAAGTGAAACTTAGTTGCTGAATAAACCCTCCAGACTTCACCTGCTTTTAGTCACTTGCTCTTCTACACTAAACCTGGTTCACCAGCTCTTCATTACTTGCTTTTAGTTGAATACAGGTAACATCTGTGATGGGTGGCCAAAACTGGAAATGGATGAAGTTTGACCCAATCACCTTCCCCCATCTCAACCTATAAATAACTCCAATCCAGGAGGCTTTTCCACCTCCTGGTACTTACCTAGTGAGTAAATCCTCTTTTACAAAACTCATCATAATGATTTGGCATACTGCATGGAAGACAAAATGAACCTGGTTCAGTAATTTGAGTTCTTAATAGGAACTTGATAATGCTTTCCAGAACTGATATAGATGGAATACATTTACATGCAGTGTTTCCATACACTACCAATATCAAAACCAGGGCTGGATGTCGGGGCTCACACCCGTAATCCCAGCAATTCAGGTGGCTGAGGCAGGAGAATCTCAAGTTCAAAGCCAGCCGCAGCAATTTAGCAATGCCCTAAGCAACTTGATGAGACTGTGTCTCAAAATTTTAAAAGGGGGGTGGGGATATGGTTCAGTGGTTAAGTGCTCCTGGGTTCAATCCCTGGTACCAAAGTAAATAAATGAATAAATAAAATAAAACCAAGATCTGGGTGTAGTGATGCTTGTCTGTCATTCCAGATGTTGGGAGGCTGAGGCAGTACCTTGTCTCAAAAAAAAAAAAAAAAAAAAAAAGGGTAGAGATGTAGTTTGGTGGTAGATGATTCCTAGATTCAATCCCCAGTAATGCAAACAAGTTGGGAGCAGGGTGAGGGTGGGGAAGCAACCAACATGCAGTTATAAGTATCTATAGTATAAGAAAATTTGAAATATGAATAAGTCTCTGGGCATGGTGGCACAGGTCATCCCAGTGACTCAGGAAGCTGAGGCAAAAGAATTGAAAATTCAAGGCCCTAAGCAACTTAGCAAGACTCTACCTTAAAAACAACAACAACAACAAAAAAGGCCAGGAATGTAGTTCAGGACTAAAGTGACTTTAGGTTCAATCCTTAGTGCAAAAATAACATGACTAAGTCAGTTTACATTCTGGTTGGGCTGGGGGTGGGGTCTACATCAAAAGAAATCTAACAGGGCAGAATATAAGTGCCATTAGTGGTCTAGATAGCAAGTGCAAGCACTGTGTTTATTTATATCATCATGGGCTGGTATCATCATGAAAAAGGAATAGGAAGGAACCTATCCTTGCAGAATGGGCAGGATTCTGAGAAGTAGAGAGGGATGGAAGGCTATTACAGGCATTACCAATAGCATAGAAGGAATCAAAAGCACAGGTTCCTGGACTGTTGGACAGTAGATATCGCCAAACAATACATAAGTAAATTGACCAAAGTTCGGCAGGAAGGAAATGAGTGTGAAACTAAAATTAGAGTCTTCAGAATTCCAACTCTAGGCTCTGACAGTATGTGTATTAATTTTGAAGCCAAGAATCTGGGAGAAAAAGAGGAAGAGGCTTAGGATAATATGATTAAATGTTAGTCGAGGTACTTCTATGAGAATTTAAGGATTTTGAATTGTTTTCTATATGCAGCGATGTGCAACTGAATGCTTAGTTGTGATACAAGGTGATCTCTCTGCATTGTTTTTATTTTAGCTCTTTGTTACATACTTTGCAATTATTGCACAAATACATTGTCTCAGTGTTCCTATATTGATTTTGCAGATTCTGTGCTGGTCTTACTGCACAAGGCCGTAGGTCCGTTCACCTTTGTTTAAAGCCACTTCTGTGAAGGGTTCCTTCAGTTCAGATGCTGGCTACGCTCACAGAAGCTTCCAGTAAAAATTGGCTCTCTGCAGCCACCGTCTCCCTCTGAGATCTCATCCAATCAGGCTCGCGGAAGGGGCGGGGCTGAAAGGCGCGCGTTGTGTTTCTTGCACTGTTTGCCGCGGTCGCCTTCAGCATGGAGGAAATTTATGCCAAGTTTGTGTCTCAGAAAATCAGCAAAACCCGCTGGCGACCAGTGCCTCCGGGAAGCCTGCAAACCGCAGAGACCTTCGCTACCGGCTCTTGGGACAATGAGGTACCGCTGTTCCCGGGAAGCGGAGCCCGTACCTTCTTTCTTTTCCTCTTGGGTGTCCTGGGCCGGCCGAGCGCGAACTCTCACCTTCTAGCTCCTCTCGCCTTCTAGGTCCTCTCGCCCTTCTCTGTCCCCTGAACCCTCGTCATGGTTCTGTTGCCTGTAGTTCAGAGCCATTAATGGTTGAGCTTCGTATCTCCTTGTGTTTTTAAATTCTTACCATACCATTCGTGTGAGGTGCTTCTGAGTCAAGATTGGCTGAAAGTAATACGGATTTTACTTTCCTCTAGTTGACGTTTACGCTATCTTTGCAGGAAAATTATGTTTCATTGTGGTCTATTGGAGATTTTGGGAATTTGGACTCTGATGGAGGATTTGAAGGAGACCATCAATTATTGTGTGATATCAAACACCATGGTGATGTCATGGATTTACAGGTAAATCTGTATTGTACCCAAAAGATAACTTTAAACACTGAAAATAATATATCTAGAGATGCAGGGGATCTTAAAATTTTGTCTAGTCACACTCCTGGTAAATATGATTTGTCGGTACATTTAGCCACTTGGTGGCAGGATCAGAACTGGGAAAGAGATTGTAGATTTAATCCTAGTTTTTAAAAATTAATCTATGCACCGAGGAATGTTTTGGAGCTTTATATAAGTTAACATAATTTTCATTGCATTTCCACATATCAAGCATTGGTTTATGTTTTGTGTGTTTGTTGCAGTGAGGTGCTTGGGATTGAACCTAGGCTCTTGCACATGTTAGGCAAGTGCTCTACCAGTTAGCTATATCCCCATCCCTCAGGTATTGTTATTTCTGCTTTTTTTCCTTGCCTTTTTTTTTTTTTTTTTTTTTGGTACCAGGGATGGAACCCAGGGGTGCTTTACCACTAAGCCACATCCCCCTTTTTTTAGTATTTTATTTAGAGACAGGGAGGGTCATGCCTAGTTGCCTAAGTCCTCACGAATTTACTGAGGCTGTCTCTCTCTGAGAAGTACAGAGGGATGGAAGGCTATTACAGACATTACCAATAGCACAGAAGGAACCAAAAGCACAGGTTCCTGGACTGTTGGGCAGTAGATATCGCCAAACAATACATAAATAATATCCTCCTGCCTTAGTATCCCAAGTAATTGGGATTGCAGGCCTGTGTCACCATGCCCAGCTTGTTATTTCTCTTTATCAATAAAAAAGCTGAGACTAAAATCTTTGAAGCATATATTATGTGGCAAATAATGTGCAGGGACGTTCGTATGGAATTGACTTTTGAATTATTATAATTTTTTTAATTTTTAATATTTATTTTTCAGTTTTTAGCGGACACAACATCTTTGTTTGTATGTGGTGCTGAGGATCGAACCCAGGCCGCACGCATGCCAGGCGAGCGCACTACCGCTTGAGCCACATCCCCAGCCCTGACTTTTGAATTATTAGTACTCCTGTGTTTTTTGTTTGTTTGTTTTTTGGTGTGGATATAGGGGATTGACCTCAGGGTCACTGAGCCACATCCCCAGTCCTATTTTTTATTTTATTTAGAGACAGGATCTCAGTGATTTGTTTTGTGTTTCACTTTTGCTGAGGCTGGCTTTGAACTCTGTATCCTCCTGTCTCAGCCTCCAGAGTTGCCACTGGGATTACAGGCATGCACCACTGCACCTGGCAGTACTCCTGTTTTAAAGTGTTAGGAAGACTTAGAGAACTTAAATTCATTCTCTCTCTCTCTTTTTTTGTGTGTGTATGTGTGTGTGTGTGTTTGCTGGGCATCAAAATCAGGGCCTCCTGCATGTCAGACAAGAGCTCTACCACTGAGCCACATCCCTAACCTGTGAACTTGAGTTCCCTAAAAAGCATCTCAAAACCCATAGTAATTGGGGTTTGAAATTAAGTTTTCAAAGTTGGATGTGGTGGTAGATGTTTGAATCCCAGCTACTTGG